ACTGACCCACAACAAATGTTGCCAGAGTTAAGAAGTCACAGACAGTGTAGCTGAGAAAAAGACCATGCTATGTTCAGAACAAAACCTAGGCCTCACAAGGCAAGGCCAGGGCTCTATTACTGTGCTACAGCCCCAGCCTTCTGCTTGAAAAGGTCAAACAGTGCTTTAAAGAGAAAAGCATATTCCCAGGCTGGGGAGAGAGTTCAGAGGGTAAAGTCATACCTAGGAAACAATAAGAACAGAGTTCCATCCCCAGGACCCTTGTAAAAATGTTGGGTGTGGTGACACAGCCTGGAATCCTAGGGCTCTTCCCCAGCAGGGACAGGAGGATCCTTGGGGCTCGCTGGGTGGCTAGCATGATTTAATGGGTGAGCCTCAGGTCCGTGATTCTCAGAAACATCAGGTTGACCTCTGTTCTCCAAACACACCTACGAGAGAGAGGAGAGAGAGAGAGAGAGAGAGAGAGAGAGAGAGAGAGAGAGAGAGAGAATGGAGCTCTTGCCCCCACCCACCCTGCTCTCTTCTTCTCCTCTGCTCTGGGCCTGGCTACCCTCAGGTCCCGTGACTTTATCTTTCTCTTGCCCATGAGCACTTCAGGGCTTAAAATCTCCTGCTTCGTTGGTTTTAGAGCCCAGCCATGGCTTCTACTAGACAGGGACTTTTGCTCTTATATATCCTCTGCCTTGAGAATGACATACAAGCCTAGAAGATTTTAGATTCATGAAGAGGCCTAGCACTTCACCGTGAGTTTCCCCTGAAGATCCCCCAGTTCCTTGGCTGTAGGATCTGTAGACTCTGTGAGTACCTCCCAGCAACATCAACCAAATCCATGTGGTAACTTAGGCTGTGTTCAGCTTTAAGTGGCTTATATAAGAGAAAAAAAAAATCATGATTTGGTTGTTTTCAACTTAAAATTTAGGAGCAAGTCCAGGGAAGATGTAAAATGTCCAGATGATCAACGTCCCAGGCTGTGTCTGCCTTGCTTTACTACTGTTAATACAAAGCTCCCAACTTGTGGTTCAAAAGAGCTGCTTCAGCTCCAACCATCATGTTTACATCCCGGCCCTCGGAGAGTATTCCTGCTCTACATAAGGACATTTCCCTGTGTACATCCAAGCCTGGACCCTGTGTCTGTCTCTGCTCTGCTCCTGTTCCCTGGGAGTTGAACAGCTCTGCACCACATGCTGCTGCCTCTCTAGACCCTGAGCCAGAAGCCCAGGAATAAGGATTGCAATCTCTGCAATGAGCCAAAACAAGCCACCGTCACTTGTCCCCTCAGGCATTTTTGTCACAGCAGTGACTGGCCTTCTGAGCCTGTCCCTATGGGTCAGGACTCATGCTCCATTCTCCTGTGTCCCTCATGCCCCCAGGAAGAGAGGATTCTTGTCTCCCAAAGACTTGCCCAGCCAGGAAGCAAGACTCACACCGTGGCTTTGGGCTCTTCACATGACATCATGTGACACCCAGCCTCGGCCTCTTTGGCCCCACCAGGTGTTCTCTGAGCTACCTTTCTAGCTGCAGCTCTGGACAGCTCTGAACTCTACCCAGCATGCTTCTCTCTGTGGGCCAAGGACTTTTGGGACTCAGGGACTCAAGGAGCAGAAATGCCGGACTCCAGGCAAGATAAGACAAGGTATCAGTGGAGTGATTCCTATTAACCACAGCTGGCACCAGAACTCATGGCAAGAACAGGAATACTGCTTGGAAACCAAATATTTTGACAACCAACTGCTGGGGAGTGAGGGAGAACTTGTGACCCTGTGCCAAAGCCCTGGAACAGGGGAGGAGGATACTGCTGAGGGAGGCAGAGGTTTGCAGCTTGCCAAAGAGCAGTAGCTAATATTTATTGACAGCTTGTGCTGCCTCAAGGAACATACCCTTAGTACCTAACATCATGAGGCTATTGAGTAGCTAATATTTATTGATAGTTTGTGCTGCCTCAGGGAACATGCACTGAGTACCTAATATTGTGAGGCCATTGAATTGTTTGATAACAAAAGAGAAAGCACTAGAAACCACCCCAGGCTGTGAACAGAGGAGGACACCTGGTAGCCAATCTATTAGTAAGATGGAAAGTTTCTGATTACTGAACCACCCAGAGATGTCCATGGCTTCAGCTGTTAAGACATTTCTTCCTTGGGACTGGGAAGATGGTTCAATGGGTAAAGGGCCTTGCAGCTAAGTCTGATGACTTGAGTTCAATCCCCGGATCCACATGGTGGAAGAACAAGAGTCAGGGCCCATCAGTTGTCCTCTGACCTCCATGTGCATACCTATGTCATGCACATGTCCTCCCCCAACACACACAAGATATATAAATGTAATAATAATAATAATAATAATAATAATAATAATAATAATAATAGAAGTTCTTTCTTACATGTCACCAAATGGTTAGGCTGATGAGGGCTGGGTATGTAGCTTAGTCTGGAGTGTTTACCCAGTATGCACAAAGCCCTGGGTTTGATCCCAGCACAACATGAACTGGGCATAATGGTGCATGACGAATCTTAGCACTCTGGAGGTAGAGATGGAAAGGTCAGGAGTTCAAAGTCATCCTTGACTACATAGTGAGTCAGAGGTCAGCCTGAGCTATGTGAAATCCCATCTTAAAAACCAAAGCAAAAAAGAATCAACAAAAAGATACCAAAACAAAACAAAACAAAAAACCAAAATATTAGCCTGATTTTTAAATAGATAGAAGTAGCTATAACAAAACACTTTATGTCGCATCATTTATCAACAGCAGAAGTTTATTTCTCCCAATTTTGGAGGTTAGAAGTCCAAAATCAAAGGAGCTGCAACACAGTGTCCATGATGACACCTGTGGCTGTGCCCCCACATAGTGGACAGGCAGAGGAACAAAGGAGGCCAGACCAACTCCTTCAGACCTACTGGCAAGGTCCCTAGTGAGGAGACAAATGACCCAAGTCTCTGTTAACACTAACCATACGCCTTTATTGTAAGCATCTATTTTAATTATTTACTTTTTCCTTAAATAAGCTGAGCTGTTGGGGGAGGGGTGGCTAGAGCAGTTAGACTCCCTAACTGACAGTGATGAGACTTTCCTCTGTGCCCTCCTGCCTGAGTGAAGGGGTCACAACCATCCTGCTTCAAGCAGTGAGCATCGGGAGAGAGGGGAGCACCCCAAGGGTCCCAGGAGGCTTCATCTGTCTCTCTGGGTGGTAACCCTCCATAAAACCCAGGCTTCCTCGAGTTGTAAGGAAGGTAGAGAGGGTCACGACTCAGTCCATGAGCGCCGAAACAGTTCTGCTGTGGCCTACAGGTCTGTGCCCCCGAAGTCATACTCAGAAGCCTGGAGCTTCATGTGTTGGCATTGGGGTCTGCACCTCTGAGCTATCTGGATGATGCCACACACAGTTTAGGAACACTTTGCTTAGGTGCCTATATAGTCTTGTATGTGTTTATGATCTTCTGAGCACAGAATCCATCCGTGCTGTATCTCTGACTCCTACTCCCAGCCATCCCCTGCCCAGCATGCCCAATTTCCCTCTTCAATGCCAGTCTTTCATCCAGTGAATTAATTTCCATCACCGGAGCCTAGCACAGCAGGGAGTTCATCAGATGGCAATTTGGTGAGGGAAATAACTGTTTTCTAAGTCTGGTCTTAGCCATCTCTGCATGCCAGACATCAGTAGAATGCTGTGAAATCACCTCACTTAAAACATGTGTTGGTTCCAATGGGAAACCCCCAGTTGGTGTTTGTCCCTGTCCCTTCTATGTAAGGCAGGAAGGACTGCCTGAAGGCTCCAAATCTTTCTATCCACAGCTGCAGACTCCCCAGGGCTTCCCCCCGAAACCGCCCCAGTCATAAGCTGAGCAGGTGGCTCATCCGCTGTGGGTAGGTAGGAGGTTGACACAAACTAGTGGTTCAATTTTGCTGCACAACAAAATATCCTAACCTGAGTAAATTAAAACACCAAGGACTTGTTTGGAAATTCCACAGATAACCAGTAACACCTCTGAGTGTCTGGCCTGTGTGCAGTTAGAGAGTCAACTGGAGTTAGGGTGGTCTTGAGGCTGGACCCATATCTCTCCATGTGGTCTGTCAATCCAGGCATGGTCCTGGCAGAACACTGAAGGAGGGACAGTAGAAGGCTTCCCATGAAGAGGGGCATTGGAACACTGCCAGGAAAGACTACCCACTCTTCTTATTCCAGACCCCAGGATTAGCAGGTTCACTCTATGGGCCCTGTGAGCTGGGAGACAGGTTAGTCAATACATGGCATTGCAGTGTTCTTACTCCATAAGAGGAAAGTAGGCAAAGGGGACAGGAAGGGGCCACTGGGGGCTGCTGATGCAAAGGTCCCTGGTTGTCAGGCAGGCTGAGACCCAAGTGTCTGGATCTCAGTCTTGTTGGAATCCAATGGAGGGCTAAGCAGCCTCCTGGTAACCATTTATGAATGAATGTTGGAAGGGTGTGGGAAGACTACGTGGACCAGGATGCTTCTGCTCCCAGGGACGCTATCTTGGGGTTAAGGCTCTCCTTCCTCCCTACCTTGCTGCTTTCCTTCCTCCTTTTTTTGATGGGGGCAAGGTCTCATGTAGCCCAGGCTGGCCTCAAACTTGCCCTATGTAGTCAAGGATGATCTTGAACTTCTGAACTTCCTGCCTCCAATTTTCTGAGAGCAGGGGTTACAGGAGCACATTACCACACCCAGTTTATGCCATACTGGAGATCCAACCTAGGGCCTTCTGCATCCTAGGCAAAAATTCTATCAACTGAGCCATAACCCCAACCCTTTCACTGTCTTTGAAAAGAGAAGATACAGGACTGGAGAGATGGTTCACCTGCTAAAAAAACATTGGATGCTCTTGCAAAGGACCCAGGTTCAATTCCCAGCACCCACATGGCAGCTAACAGTCACCTCTAACTGTAGGTCCAGGGGATCCAATGCCTTCTTCTGGCCACCGTGGACACCAGGAACATTGTGCATATACATACATGCAGGCAAACACTCATACACATAAAATAAAAATAAAATTTTTGTTTAAAGAATCTAATCCATGCCATCTGTCACCACATGACAGAACAATGTGGAGAATCTTTGACAGCTCAGGTCAGCACAGTACCTGCAGCTGCCACTCGCATTTCCTATAGACATTAAAAAAAAAAAAAAAAAGAACAGAAAAAGAAAAAGAATCAGAATCTAATCCACTAGGGGCTTGCTCTTAAAAAAGAAAAAGAAAAACAGACAGATACCATGAGGATATCTTGTGAGTCTTAAATGAAATATTATGTGTGGGGTGGGATGTCCATGGACACTTTGGCCCTGAGCAGTGGGGTGTAAGTATTGTTAACAAGAGACTTGTGTCCCACAATAGAAGCATTCTATTTTATGTGGGGAAAGGGTCAGGACCCCAGAAAGCATGTTCAAACCTATGCCTGGACCCACTACTCTAAACTGATATTGCAGAGACCTGACCTGCTGGACACCAGCAGCTCCACATAGCCAGACTGGGACCTGCATCCATCACGAAGTCAGCCATGGCCAGCACCAGCCTTGACTGTGGTTCCCAGCAAGAAAGGAGTCCCACCAGCTGTAGAGCCCTCTTGTCCCAGTGTTCACAAAGGGCAGGTGGGGTCCAGCAGGGTGGGGACATCTGAGGAGGAGTATGGATGTGGGTAGGAACAGCTCCCTGAATAAAGAGGCTGCTGGGGTGAAGCACTCTCAAGAGGAGACCCGATCTCTCACTGAACCTGGAGCTCACTGATTCTGAGGCTGGTTGATAAACCCCAGCAAGCCTCAGTCTTTGCCTTCCCGTCACTGGATTACAGGCATATGTTGCATCTGACTTTTTATGTTGGTAGTGGGGATGGAACTCAGGTCTTCATGCTTGTGTGGCAAGTACTTCACTGACTGAGTCACTCCCCAAACCCAACATCTCAGCTTTCAACAGCAGTATTGTCCCTCTGCAGATGGTTCACCCTGGTTAGCTTTGCCCCTGAAGGTAGTAGTCACTCTCTAAGCCAGGAAGCTGGGCCCTCCAGCCACATACCCCTCTGTGCACTCTGGAGCTGGCACTGAGGCAGAGATGCTGATTCAACCTTCTCCCCAGAGCAGGCAAAGGAGGGAGCAGAGACTCCCCAGGCAGTGCAGCCAGTCACAAGGAAGCCCCTATCTGGCATCTGTCCATCAGGGACAGGGTGGGATGTACCAAACCTGACAGCAGCTGGGCCCAAAGACAGCCACAAATTCCAGTGCCCTCCAAACAAGGGTTCCCTGAAATAGCAAGTTCAGCAAACACTGTATGCTTCACCCCTTTGGAGAATCAAGGCCAGATCCAGTCAGTACTGGAAGTCCATGATGAGGGACAGGCATCTTGCTCAGTGGATAAAAGGCCTGCATAGTATACATAAAGCCCTATGTTCTATCCCCGGCCCCACATAAACCAGGCACCGTGGCACAGGCCTATAATCCCAGGAGGATCATGAGTTCAAGGTCATCCTTGGTCACATAAAGAACTTGATGCCAGCCTGGGCTATATGAGGCCCTGTCTCTAAAACAGTAATACTATGGAACTGGAGAGATGGCTCAGTGGTTAAGAGCACTGCCTGCTCTTGCACAGGACCCGAGTTCAGTTCCCAGCACTTGCATGGCGGCTCACAATGGTCTGTAGCTCCATTTCCAAGGGATCAACACTTCTTCTGGTCTCCATTGGCATTGCACACATATGATGCCCTTACATACATGCAGACAAAACACTTACACACATAAAATTAAAACAATGCAAAAATAATAATAGTAATGAATAAATAAATAAAAAGGAAAAACACCAAAGTCCTCAGGTAGAAAAGCCTTTGGTTTTTTAACCTGGCCTTTTGCAGCATGTGTAACCATGGTGTCTACTATGTAACTCCAGCAGGTTCCAGAGGACATAGGTTGCCCTCCTGCCTTCTTAAGAAGAAGGACCATCATATAGGAGTCCCTTGCTCCATCCCAGAAGGCTGGACGGGGCATCCTGCTGTAAGCAGTGAACGTCAAGAGAGAGGTCTGAAGGTGGGCCTGGGCTGCACCCCAAGAGCCCCAAGAGAGCTCATCTGTCTCTCTGGGTGGTAAACCTCCACAAAATCACCATGTTGGTCCCAAACTGGGGCTCCAGCTGCCCTGAGTTAGAGGGGAGGTGTGGGTGTGGGGTCGTGGCTATCCTTGAGTTCAAAGGAAGTTGTGGATATGGGGTAGTCTCTCAGCCCAGAGCACTGGAAACAGTTCGGTGGTCTGCAGGGTCTGTGCCTACAAAGTAACAAGCTAAAAAGAAACCCTGGGCTTAAAGTGTTGCAGAGGAGGCGGGGCCTCGGGAGTTGAGATTAATTTACAGGGGAGAGGTATGTTGGGGTTGGTGTTCTTGTAAGAAGAGGGAGAGCCCAGATTCTCTCCCTCTTATCTATCTGTATCTCTTTTTTTAAATATATATTTTGTTTTTATGTTCATGTATGTATGCATGTGTGCTCATGTGTGTGTGGGCAGAACAGAAATCAGACCAGAAATCAGCTTCTGGTGTCATCTGCCTCCCCAGAGCTGGGATTGGCAGATATGTGCCTCACACCTGGCTCTTCCATGGGTCCTGGGGATCTGAACTCAGGTCCTCATGCTTACATGGTAGGTAATTTATCTACCGAGCCATCTTCCTACTCACCTATCTCTACCTCTGTCTCTTGATCTCTCTCTAGCTCTCTTTTTCTCTATCATCTTCCCCAATGTACCAGGACACAGTGAGAAGGCAGCCAGGAAGAGAGCCCTTCCCGCAAAATCAACTTAGCCAACACCTTGATGTTGAGCTTCCCAGCCTCCAGAACTGTAAAGATTCTGTTTATATTGTTAAAGCCACCCAATCTGCACCATTTTGTTATGGCAGCACAAGATGACTATGGCATGTCCCTTGGAGGCCTTGGAGGTCTCTGGGCTGGAACAAACATGGGTTCAGTACTAGGTCTACCTCTAACCTGCTGTGTGACCTTGGCAAGTCACTTAGCCTCTCTGAATGTTTCCATCTGTTCAGGCAACTGAGAAAGCTTGGTTCCCAGGCTGTGTTAAGAACAAGAACTAGTGACATGGAGTGGCTCACATCACACTCACTGTGTAATTGTGTGACTGAGCACCTGGCATGCATGTGTTAACTTCGAGTGGAATTTGCATGCTGTGAGTAGGGTATTCCTGTGCCCACTTTGCAGATAAGACCCTGGGGTAAAACTGACTGAGGGACCTGCCTGAGGTTATACAGGTGCCAAGTGTCCGAGGAAGGAGTCCAGCTCTGCCATGTGTGCTATACTAACCAGCATAGCAAACATTCAGTGAGGGTGACAGCCATGACTGGGTCACTCAGGGGCTTTGGGGACCCAGTGATGGCACGACACCTGGGAGGAGCCTACTTAATGCAGGAAGAGAAGAGAGGAGAGTGGAGTAGGAAGGCCTGAGAGGGGCCTCTCCTTTCCAGAAAGTGTTGGACTCTATCTCCTCTGGGTCTGGTTTCAAGAGGGTGTAGCCTTACCTCTAAGGACATAGGGAAGTTTTGGGGAGCACATCTACCCCCACATGGCCACACATCAGTTATAAAGACTCTATCTAGTTTCTGTCCTAGTTTTTTACACCCCATGGCGTGGACAGTCAAGATGGGATGCAAGGTGATGCTGGCACTCGGGTGTGGATGTTTAACTGAACATGACCCAGGCAGCAGTGTGGGACTGGGCTGAGAGGTTGGGGAAGCCATCCTGGGCATCTATCCCAGTCACTACCCCCACCAGTGACGTTTCCTCTGGGGCAGAAATTCCTCACACATTTCTGGGTCACATATGTATGTGTGCCTGCAAACTCTGGAGGTGGCCAGGCAGGCGTGGAATGAGGCCAGTTGCTGGTGCATGAACACAGTCCAAACCCTATGGAAAACAGAAGCTACATGCAGCCTGTACAGAGTCACCCTCCCCGTAGCTGAGGCTGGAGGGTGACGAGCAAGTAAGTGAGACCTGAGCCTGCCCAACCCTGGGAGCCACTGAAGGCTTGAGGAGCATCTAAGATGACACTAGAATGAAGAACAAATGGCCTGAAGGGTGTGCAGTGGGCAAGCCAAGGGAGCCTGGGTTCTCCCAGTTTAGTGGTATGGTGATCACCTACAGGGCTGGTGACTGCACTATTCACCAGATAACAGTCTCCCTACACATTGGGAGTGTGTGCCTTGCCCCAGCTGGTCTCTGCCACTTGTACTGGTGATAACCACTTGGCTTAGCAACTACCTGGTTGGCTCCTGTGGCCCTCTCCAACCTTCTATCTGCCCAGCACCCAAACCATCTTCTAAACCTGACCATTACATCTGTGCCCCTGCAATTTGACCCTCTACCTGTGATTTCCTGTCCCCTCTTAAGTCTTCCCCAGTCAGACGAAGAACCAAATGTCCCCATGTGGGGTCTCATTTTCCTTCTACTCCCCCAAGCCAATCTACTCCAGCCACACTGTGTGCCCATCTCCTCCTGCCTTATGTGCTCATGCCTTAGGGCCTTTGTGTGTGGCATTCTCTCTGCCTGGAGCAATCTTTCTCACACTTCCTCACTGATCAGAGATTACCCCTCCTCTTTCTAAATAGCATCCTGACCCCTCTCTAGCCCCCAGCTCCTTCCCCGCTTCCTCTATTCTCAAAGTCCCCCCCCCAGACCATGCTTTCTGTCCACCTTGAGCAGCTGTGTTTGGTCGGCCTCCCCAAAGCCCTGGACATGCTCTATGGCCTGTGCTGCTCCACATAGAGGTCACCAAGCACTTGAACTGTGGCCACTATGACGGAAAACCTGGATTTTAAGTTTTATTTTATTTTACAGACTTCATGTGTGAACGCCACACATAGCTGGCTATTTGTATGGTGGACAGTGAAGTTATATATATTTTGTTCTGGTTTTTCCCCAAAGAATCCCAGTATTGCAAGGGAAAAGATGATCCTATGTCCATGGCTATGCCACAGGACTGAAAGCTTTTTCTAGCACATGCAGTAGGTATTCAAAAAATGATGGGTAACTATTATCACAGAATTATATTCTCTCTCTCTCTCTCTCTCTCTCTCTCTCTCTCTCTCTCTCTCTCTCCACACACACATACACACACACATACACACACACACAC